ATGGCAGAGCTTGTGTTATCCTTCACTGGTACCCCACCACAATTTGGAACCCCATCAGGTCCCAGGTTCCCTACTCTGGCCAGTGAACCTCTTGTCCTCCGTCCTGCTCCAACGACGACGGCCGAGTCCCTTCTCCCAGTCGACCATCCTCCGACATCACCGCTACTGCCGGTACCACCTGCAACATCGACTCCCCCTTTCCCAGAACAGTCAGAGTCCGACTGGTCTTCAGAACCGGACACAGCTCTCACCTTCTTGCTCTTATAGTCCAGATCCTTGGCACCATGCCTATCCTCCAGACTACGGTCACACCACTGATCCTTAGTTCCCGGTACCTGTGGACCCCGCCCAGGCATGGCAACTCTTTGGCCATTTTGGGCCTCATGGGACCCTTACCATCATTGCAATGCACACCACCTACACCGCACCTTTCCCATGCATACAGTGACTGTTCAGGGGAAACCCCTGGATCCTCTGGGTCCATCGGCGGCCCCGATCACACCACCAGAATTGCCTATTCTTACAGGCGTTTCATCATCTCTGGACGATGCCCTGATCCAATCTTCCCTCTCCCCACCAGATGACCACACACAATATCAGTCCCTGCTCCGTCACATGGCCACGGCCCTCAACCTTCCACTAGAGGATGTTCAGGACCCCTATGACCAATTCCTGGACATGCTTCAATCTCCAGGATTCTACTGCACAGCCTTACCCATTCATTCGGCTACCTTACAACCAGCCCAGATGGTGTGGCATACGTCAGCCTCTTGTGTCCCATACTAAAGCGAGTGGAATGCCGCTATTCTGTCCCCTCTAAGGACGCAGATTTCCTGTTTACCCACCCACTGCCAAATTCCCTGGTGATCAATGCTGCCATCGCACATGCCCGTCAGCAGCACTTTAAATCAACACCACCAGATCGCAATGCCAAAAAATTAGACTTGCTGAGTAGAAAAGTTTATTCATTAGCGGGGCTACAATTCTGTATTGCCATTTATCAGGCCGTTCTGGCCAAATACAATTTTCTGTCCTACTCCCAACTGGCAGATTTCCGGGACTCTTCTTCCTGACCAACAGCAGGACTTCCAATGCATGGTAGATGAGGGAAAGCTGGTGGCCACAGCAGATGCTGCAGGCGCTCTCTCTCACTCCTTAACCCCCAGAGTCGTTCTCTGTCGTGACTCGTGGCTATAGTCCAACGGTCTTCCAAAGGAGGTCCAGATGACGGTGGAAGACCTCCACTTTGACCACAAACTGTTTAGTGACAAGACGGATGAGACCCTTCACTCCATTAAGGACTCCCAGGCCACCGTTCCCTCCCTGGGCGTCTATGCCCCAGCCCCCACCCACCGACAACAGCATCCACCTTTCCATCCTCGTCCTCGCATCACTTATCACCTGTACCCCCAGCGACCCTTGGAACTGCTTCAGCATCAACTTCACTCTCAATGGCCCTGGCACTCTCCCTCTGCCGCTTCCATTTCTCATTGACCCAAACAATTGTTTTGACTCATATAAAGACCTGAAAACTTCCCATAACCCTTCCGGATGCACCTCCCATCATATCCAGGGGTTGTCTGGCACTCTGTCTGCACTTCGAGTTCCATCAACTCTGACTGCTGGGTGCTAGACGTCATCTGTCAAGGATACCTAATCGAATTCCTTTCCTTCCCCCCATGCTACACACCTGGGAGCTGCCCCCCTCCCTCCCGAACCCTATCCAACTCGATCTTCTTCACAACGAAAACACTGTCCTTGTCCACAAGGGTGCCATAGAACCTGTGCCACACTGCCACCATGGCTTCTACTCCCCCAATTTCCTTATTCTGAAAAGGGGGGAGGTATGCGCCCCATTCTAGACCTCCACACCTTAAACAAATTAATCCGCATTTTTCACTTCCGGATGGTCACCCTCCCCCTTACTATCTCTTCCCTCCCACATGGAGCCTAGTTTGCTGCTCTCGTTATGAAAGACACGTACTTTCATGTAGACATTCACCCTGCTTATCACAAATTCCTTTGTTTTATTATGGCAATGCCCATGATCAGTTCCATTTCCTCCCCTTTGGGATCTCCACTGCCCCCCGCGTATTTACCAAGGTCTTTGCGGTTGTCACAGCCTATATGCACCGACTGGGGCACACCCTATTTCCTTACCTAGACAGCTGGCTTCTGGTAGCACCCTCTCGCTCCTGCCTCCTGCCCACCATGTGCACCTTACACACCCTCCTTCAGAGACTAGGCGTATGCATCGGTGAAGAAGAATCCGTCCCTACCCTCCCACTTAGCTTTATAGGAGGACATTTGGACTCCATAACAGCCAGAGCTTTTCTTCCCAGGGACTGCTTAACTGCCCTTGTTACCCTCATTACCATGCTGAGACATCCACCCACACATGCCTGCCAATGCTTTTCCCTTCTCGTTCACATGGCGGCTTGTGCTGCTGTTACACCACTTGCCCGTCTCCATATGCACGGCCTCCAACATTGGCTCCACACAGTCTACAATCCATAGGAAGACTCTCTCACCAAGCTACTAGTCCTCCTCTCCAGCGTCTTGACCTCCCTCTCATGGTGGTGCAACCCTTCCACAGTCCTAGTGGGCATACCATTCATGCCCCCCACACAACTGCCACCCTCACCACAGACATGTCTTTAGCGGGTTGGGATGCCCACCTCGACACCCACACTGTTCAGGGCCTCTGGTCCACATGAGAAGCACGAATGCACATCACCATCCTTGAGCTCCAAGCAGTCTGTCTGGCCTGCCAAGTGTTCCTAGACTCCCTCCACATCCAAGTACTCTCGGACAACAGGATGGTGGTCATATACATAAACAAGGCAGTGCATGGTCCCCCTCTCTGTGTGCAGAAGCTGGTGCCTCAGACCCTCCACCACGATGGATGCTGCCATCGGTCACACTGTCCTACACAGTTGGTCCTCTCGAGAGCCCTTGCGCCCACCTCCTTCTTGAGTAGTGCTCGCTGTATTCCCACTTTGGAATCCACATAGGGGCCAGCACTCGAAGAAGAAGGTTATTTACTGTAACTAGAGGTTCTTAGAGATATGTGGTCCCTATCTGGATTCCAATCCCACCCTCCATCCCCTCTGCTCCGGGCTCTCCTACCCCCTGGTGAGAAGGAACTAGAGCGGCGACAATCCACGCAGCCTCTTAAAGCCTTGGATGCACCACATGGTCGACGCATGCAGGTCAATGGACACTATTATCAACAGTTCCATCTCCAGCGTATGGCACGCATGCACACCCCACGCTTGGAATCCAGATAGGAACCACACCTCTCAAAGAACCTCCCGTGACAATAAGTAACCTTCTCTTATTGCACACTATCTTTGCAATGTTCAGGTCTTTTTGCTAAGCTAACTGATGTCATTGCATGATCTATAGAGGGACGCACGGGTAGGGCAGGATAAGGAACTGATCTGGTGGCATATAAAGACAGGAAAATAAATCTTTATACTCTGGATTTTATCTGTACAATACCATTTTTAGGTATAGTTATCTTAAATTGTAATGGAAGTTTAATTACTGGTGAATATGGTGACTTGTGATGGCAGATACACTTGCCTTCAGTGACTGAATTGTATTCTGGGCCCAGAAATGTTAACATTGTTCTTACCTTGCAGCCAAAGAAGAAGAATATCTCTCACGATGTCTTTGGTACATCATATGGTCGGATCCACATGCAGAAACAGGATCTCAGTAAATTACAGACAAGGAAGATGAAAGGGTTAAAGAAGAGACCTGCAGCAAAGATGACTGAAGAAGAGGAAGGGATTAGTCCAAAGAAATCAAAATCAGTCTGATAGGATAAAATAGTTTTGGACTTTTGATAACTTCAGCTTTTGCTGTATTTGTCACAAAATAAATGTGGCAGATGTGGACCAGTCAGCTGCCATTTTTTAAAATGCTGTAGTCCTGTAATTACTTTTAATGTATAGTCCTACAAAAGTAAACTTCAGTGGTGTTGAGCTGTACGCTGACATTATTTCCTCAGGTGTCTAAAGCTCGATATGCTTATTTGGAGAAATCAGTAGAACAAATCATTGAAGAAAGCCAATTATCTAATAGTTTACTAAATGGCCTTCTAGGGTTTTTATCCTGGGGACTCTTGTTAGACTAGTCTTGTCATATAAACCCTTTCTGGGAACTGAGCTGTTAATGTGTAAATGTTGGCCTTGATTTGTTTTCAGCTAATGTTAAAGGTATTTGGACTGTTTTACATAACTTTTTGACTACTCATCTCTAACTTAATAAACTTTGGACTATTTTATTAACTATGCATTTCAAAAAAGAGAAACTATATCAATATTAGTATGTGCTAATGAACTACGTCCTCTTTGTAACTGAGCATTACTTACACTCCCTAGAATTAGGAATGATCTGTCAAGCTGCTTATACTACATTCATCACTAAGGTATCTGAGCACCTGATACTCACCATGGGTACATATGAGACCTTTGAGTCTCTTAAGCACAGAACCTTATGCTTGATTTCCATATGGCGTGCAAGGGACAAGACTAACTTATTCAGTCTACTGTGTTTTTTAATCTAGGTATTTATACCATGCTCTTCACTATATTTGAGTGCCGTAGAGAGACTGCTAAAGAAGCTGTCAAGGTTCCTTCCCCACTCTGAACTCTAGGGTACAGATGTGGGGACCTGCATGACCCCCTAAGCTTATTTTTACCAGCTTAGGTTCAAACTTCCCCAAGGTACAAACTATTTTACCTTTTGCACTTGGACTTTATTGCTGCCACCACCAAGCGTCTAACAGATATATAACCAGGAAAGAGCCCGCTTGGAAACATCTTTCCCCCCAAAAATCCTCCCCAAACCCTACACCCCCTTTCCTGGGGAAGGCTTGATAAAAATCCTCACCAATTTGCATAGGTGAACACAGACCCAAACCCTTGGATCTTAAGAACAATGAAAAAGCAATCGGGTTCTTAAAAGAAGAACTTTAATTGAAGAAAAAGTAAAAAGAATCACCTCTGTAAAATCAGGATGGTAAATACCTTACAGGGTAATTAGATTCAAAGCCTAGAGAATCCCTCTAGGCAAAACCTTAAGTTACAAAAAGACACAAAAACAGGAATATACATTCTATTCAGCACAGCTTATTTTATCAGCCATTTAAACAAAACAGAATCTAACACATATCTAGCTAGATTACTTACTAAGTTCTAAGACGCCATTCCTTTTCTGTTCCCGGCAAAAGCATCACACAGACTGAGAGAGAGCCTTTGTTTCTCACCCCCTTCAGCTTTGAAAGTATCTTGTCACCTCATTGGTCATTTTGGTCAGGTGTCAGCGAGGTTATCCTAGCTTCTTAACCCTTTACAGGTGAAAGGGTTTTTCCTCTGGCCAGGAGAGATTTTAAAGGTGTTTACCCTTCCCTTTATATTTATGACAGAAGCAAAACCTTGATTTGTCTTTTCTTTCCTGATTTGGACAAGTTTCTTTTAATACTCTAAGGCCTGGTCTACAGTATGCGATTATATCGAAATTAGCCACATTCTATCAAATTAAAACAATCCGGCCACACAATCAACCCGGTTTTGTTGACTTTAAGGTCTCTAAAAACTGGTTTCTGTACTTCACCTCGGCAAGGGCAGTAGCACTAAAATCGACATGGCTGTTCGGGATTTTAGGTACTATGGATGCAATTCGACAGTATTGGCCTCTGGGAGCTATCCCAAAATGGTGCATTGTGACCGCTCTTCACAGTTGCAACTCAGATGCACTAGCCAGGTAGTCAGGAAAAGCCCTGGGAACTTTTGAATTTCATTTCCTGTTTGGCCAGCATGGTGACCTGATTAGCGCAGGTGACCATGCAGAGTCCACCAGCGCTGGAGACCATGCAGTCCCAGATGCGCAAATGAGCTCTAGCATGGACCGAGTGGGAGGTACTGGATCTCATTGCTGTTTGGGGAGAAGAATCTGTTCAGGCAGAACTCCGTTCCAAAAAAAAGGAACACAAAGGAACGCAAACATTTGTGAAAATCTCCTGGGGCATGATGATTTTTTGGAGGAGGAAGAAGAGGAGGACAGTGCACAGGCAGCAAGCGGTGAATCTGTTCTCCCCAGCAGCCAGGAACTGTTCATCACCCTGGAGCCAATACCCTCTACCCCCTCCCAAGGCGGGCTCGGGGACCATGACGCTGGAGAAGGCACTTCTGGTGTGTGTACCTTTGTAAATACGATACAGGGTTTAAAAGAAAGTGTGTTTACTGATTCATTTGTCCTGAAGACTTGGGATGCATTCGCGACCAGTACAGCTACAGGAAAAGTCTGTTCGCATTTGGCTTAAAGGGTCAGAACCCTGCAGTGGGGATGGGGGGAAACCCATCCATGCTGGCCTGTTGGCATTTGGCCTGAAGGGCGCGGGGTGGTGTGTGCGTGTGAGTGTGGCGATCATCCCAGAGAGACCACAGGCCCTCCTTTTAAATGGCCAACCCACCAGGCATTGCTTGGTATGGGAAAGGAGGGTGCTGCAGTTTGAAAGCATTGTAATGAACGTGGAAGAAGCAGAACCCTGTGTGCGCCTAGGGCTTACCATGGCTGCCTGCAAGCTGAATGCTGTTGCCCAGTCGCGTGTGATGCAGTCACACCAAACTAGCAGGCATTCAGTATAAAAGGCAAAATCTGACCTTATACAGAAATAACATGTGCTAGGTACTATGAATTGCTTGTTTCACTGAGAAACAGGCTCCCTTTTGTTCTCTAAAATGTATCTTTTAAACTTCTACTCTCCCTTTTTCTCCTCCTGCAGGTGCAAATGTTTCAACCTGCCCCCTATCAACTCCATCCCAGAGGCTGGCCCAGATTAGAAGGCAGAAAAAACACACTCGGGATGACATGTTTGCAGAGCTTATGCAGTCCACCCGCACTGATAGGGCACAGCTGAATGCGGGGAGGGAAACAATGGCAGAGTCCCGGAACAAGTTCAGTGACTGCGATGAGAGCAGGCAGGATGCCATGCTCAAGCTGATGGGAGAGCAAACTGACGTGCTCCGCTGTCTGGTTGATCTTATGAGGGAAAAGCAGCAAGAGCACAGCCAGCCCCTGTATAACCGCTCTTCCCTCTTCCCCAAGTTCAATAGCCTCTTCACCCAGATGCCCAAGAACACGGGGAGGGAAGAGGCTCCAGGGATCCACTCATTCCACCCCAGAGGATTGCCGAAGCAGCAGAAGGCTGGCATATCCTAAATTTTGATTTGCAGTGTGACCTTGTCCTTCCCTCCTCCCTCCCCCTGCTTACCCTACCCCACCCCACCCGGGCTAGCTTGTGATTTATCTCCCTGTGTTTTTAATCAACTAATAAAGCATGCATGGTTTTGAAATAATAGTGATTTTATTTCCTCTGCAAGCTGTGATTGAAGTGGGGGAGGGCGGTTGTCTTACAGGCAATTACAGTCAAGAAAGGGGGTGGGTAACATCAAGGAGAAACAAACACAATTGTCACACCGTAGCCTGGCCAGTCATTAAACTGGTTTTCAAAGCTGCTCTGATCCGCAGCACGCCCTGCTGTGCTCTTCTAATCACACTGGTGTCTGGCTGCGTGAAATTGACCACCAGGCGATTTGCCTCAATCTCCCACCGCACCATAAATGTCTCCGCCTTACTTCCACAGATATTATGGAGCACACAGCAAGCAGCAATTACAATTGGAATACTGGTTTAGCTGAGATCTAACCTAGTCAGTAAACTGCGCCAGCGTGCTTTTAAACAGCAAATGTGCACACTACCACCATTCTGCACTTGCTCAGCCTATAGTTGAACTGCTCCTGACTACTGTCCAGGCTGCCTGTGTATGGCTTCATGAGCCATGGCATTAAGGGGTAGGCTGGGTCCCCACAGATAACTATCGGTATTTCAACATCCCCAACAGTAATTTTCTGGTCTGGGAAGTAAGTCCCTTGCTGCAGCTGTTCAAACAGACCAGAGTTCCTGAAGACACAAGCATCGTGTACCTTTCCTGGCCATCCCACGTTGATGTCGGTGAAATGTCCCTTGTGATCCACTAGTGCTTGCAGCACCATTGAGAAGTACCCCTTGCGGTTTATGTACTGGCTGCCCTATGGTCCGGTGCCAAGATAGGGATATACATTCCGTCTATCACCCCACCACAGTTAGGGAACCCCATCGCAGGAAAGCCATCCACAATGGCCTGCACATTTCCCAGAGTCACTACCCTTGATAGCAGCTGGTCAATGATTGCGTTGGCTACTTGGATCACAGCAGCCCCCACAGTAGATTTGTCCACCCCAAACTGATTCACAACTGACCGGTAGCTGTCGGGCATGGCAAGCTTCCAGAGGGCTATCGCCACTCCTCAACTGTGAGGGCTGCTCTCGTTTTGGTATCTTTGCGCTTCAGGGCAGGGGACAGCGAGTCACAAAGTTCCATGAAAGTGGCCTTACACATGCAAAAGTTTCACAGCCACTGGGAATCATCCCATACCTGCAACACCAATCTGCTTGTTTCCCAGGCCCAGAATTGGCGTTCCACTGCATGAACGTGGCCCAATGCCACCATGATGTCCCAATTGTCACATGCCGTGCTTCTAGGAACGTCTGTGTCCATGTCCTCATCACTATCTTAATGCTGTCATTGCTTCCTCACCCAGTTTTGCAGGTTCTGCACATACCGCTGGATAATGCGTGAGGTATTTACAATGGTCACAACTGCAGTGGTGAGCTGAACAGGCTCCATGCTTTCTGTGCTATGGCGCCTGCACGGGTAATCCAGGAAAAAAGGTGCAAAATGAAGGAGAGCACAGTTGCAGCGGAAGCGGCGTTGTACGGTTTATGATGGCATACTGCACGAGTTGCAGGACAGCAGAGTTTTGCAGACCTACTGCACCATCTGCTGCAGGAAAGCCGAGTGGCAGCGGAAGTTGTGGTGTATGGTTGATGATGGCAGAAAAAAGGCCCGAAACGATTGTCTGCCGTAGGTTGCACGGAGGGAGGGGTGACTGATGACACGTACCCAAAACCACCCGTGACAATGTTTTTGCCCCATCAGCCATTGGGAGCTTAACCCAGAATTCCAATGGGCAGCAAGAGACTGCGGGAACTGTGGGATAGCTTCCCACAGTGCACCGCTCCGAGAGTCGATGCTAGCCTCGGTACTGTGGATGCACTCCACTGACTTCACACGCTTAGTGGGGACACACACGATTGACTGTATAAAATCTCTTCCGAAAAATTGACTTTTATAAATTAGATATAATTTTGTACTGTAGATGTACCCTAAGAAAGCAAAGTTTAAAAAGTTGTCTTGCACAGGGGTCATGCTAGTGAAATCTATTCGGAACTGAATGAGATGGAAGACTTTGGGATCTAAACGGGAAGACGATATTAAAATACAGTAAGTTTTTTTTCATTGTTTTGTTGGAAGTGGTTTGTCTTACTACATTTTGGGACATGTAGGAAATCTGTAAATTAGCTATTTTTTCCTCCTCCCAATTTATCTCTTTGTTTAGAAAGCCATTCATAGATTATAAGGCTGGAAGGGACCACTGTGATCACCTAGTCTGATTCACTATATATCAGGCCATAGGACTTCCCTGAATTAATTCCTATTTAAACTAAAACAATTTATAGAAGAATATTCTGTCTTGATTTAGAAGTTCCCAGTGATGGAGAACCCACTATGCCCTTCATAATTATTCCCATGGTTAAAAAATTACACCTTATTTCTAGCCTGACTTTGTCTAGCTTCTAGTCCCATTCATTTGGCTTTTGCTATACATACCTTTGTCCGCTGGATTGAAGAGCCCATTATCACAAAGTTTTGTTTGTCATATGTAGGCATTTAAAGATTGATCAAATCACTCCGTAACCTTTTGGCTAAGCTAAACCAATCAAGTTATTGGAATCTGTTGCTATAGGGCAAGTTTTCCAATTCTTTAATCATTCTCATGGCTCTTCTCTGAACCTTATTCAATTTATTAACATCTTTTTTTGAGTTGTGGACACCAGAACTGGACACAATATTCCAGTAGCATTAGAGATGGGGAAGAGATGGCCAGCCCTCTGTGGAGATAGAGGTGGTTAGGGACTATTTAGAAAAGCTGGACGTGCACAAGTCCATGGGGCCGGACGAGTTGCATCCGAGAGTGCTGAAGGAATTGGCGGCTGTGATTGCAGAGCCATTGGCCATTATCTTTGAAAACTCGTGGCGAACCGGGGAAGTCCCGGATGACTGGAAAAAGGCTAATGTAGTGCCAATCTTTAAAAAAGGGAAGAAGGAGGATCCTGGGAACTACAGGCCAGTCAGCCTCACCTCAGTCCCTGGAAAAATCATGGAGCTGGTCCTCAAAGAATCAATCCTGATGCACTTGCATGAGAGGAAAGTGATCAGGAACAGCCAGCATGGATTCACCAAGGGAAGGTCATGCCTGACTAATCTAATCGCCTTTTATGATGAGATTACTGGTTCTGTGGATGAAGGGAAAGCAGTGGATGTATTGTTTCTTGACTTTAGCAAAGCTTTTGACACGGTCTCCCACAGTATTCTTGTCAGCAAGTTAAGGAAGTATGGGCTGGATGAATGCACTATAAGGTGGGTAGAAAGCTGGCTAGATTGTCGGGCTCAACAGGTAGTGATCAATGGCTCCATGTCTAGTTGGCAGCCAGTATCAAGTGGAGTGCCCCAAGGGTCGGTCCTGGGGCCGGTTTTGTTCAATATCTTCATAAATGATCTGGAGGATGGTGTGGATTGCACTCTCAGCAAATTTGCGGATGATACTAAACTGGGAGGAGTGGTAGATACGCTGGATTGTAGGGATAGGATACAGAAGGACCTAGACAAATTGGAGGATTGGGCCAAAAGAAATCTGATGAGGTTCAATAAGGATAAGTGCAGGGTCCTGCACTTAGGATGGAAGAATCCAATGCACCGCTACAGACTAGGGACCGAATGGCTAGGCAGCAGTTCTGCGGAAAAGGACCTAGGGGTGACAGTGGACGAGAAGCTGGATATGAGTCAGCAGTGTGCCCTTGTTGCCAAGAAGGCCAATGGCATTTTGGGATGTATAAGTAGGGGCATAGCGAGCAGATCGAAGGACGTGATCATTCCCCTCTATTCGACATTGGTGAGGCCTCATCTGGAGTACTATGTCCAGTTTTGGGCCCCACACTACAAGAAGGATGTGGATAAATTGGAGAGAGTCCAGCGAAGGGCAACAAAAATGATTAGGGGTCTAGAACACATGACTTATGAGGAGAGGCTGAGGGAGCTGGGATTGTTTAGCCTGCAGAAGAGAAGAATGAGGGGGGATTTGATAGCTGCTTTCAACTACCTGAAAGGGGGTTCCAAAGAGGATGGCTCTAGACTGTTCTCAATGGTAGCAGATGACAGAACGAGGAGTAATGGTCTCAAGTTGCAGTGGGGGAGGTTTAGATTGGATATTAGGAAAAACTTTTTCACTAAGAGGGTGGTGAAACACTGGAATGTGTTACCTAGGGAGGTGGTAGAATCTCCTTCCTTAGAGGTTTTTAAGGTCAGGCTTGACAAAGCCCTGGCTGGGATGATTTAACTGGGAATTGGTCCTGCTTCGCGCAGGGGGTTGGACTAGATGACCTTCAGGGGTCCCTTCCAACCCTGATATTCTATGATTCTATGAGTCCGTGCCAAATAGACAGGTAATATAACCTTCCTACTCCTACTGAATATTCCTGTTTTATGGATTGAATTAGGCCTTTTGGCCACCATGTCACCCTGGCAGCTCGTGTTCCAGTTGATTATCCACCATGACCCCTGGGATGATTTGTGGGATCTATCTGTACAATTTATGAATTCAGTGTGAAATTATGATCTCTGTGTTTGTATCAAGCTGCACATTCAATTTTGAATGTGCAGCCCTTTGTCTTCTCTGGGGCCTTTTACCTCCATGTTGGACTGAAGTTCCAAGGGATGGCCCAGTGGAAGGGTTATTAAGAGTTACAGAGGGTTATTAAATCTTGATGGAACTCTTCAAAAAGAAACATCTTGAGACAAAAGGCTGACTTCTACCTAGGGGAACTGGTTGGACAAAAGGTTGCTTGACAATGCAGTCACTTGGAGGGGAGTGTCTGTGGCCACCTGAGGAAACTGATCAGGGAGAGAGGGACAGGAAAGTTATAAAAAGGCAGGAGCTGACCTAATCAGGGTCTTAGGCCATTTTCACCAGTTCAAGATGGGAGAGCAGCTGCAGGAGCCTGATGAACCTGGGGTGAGCCCTGCCTACCTGAATGCAGATAGACTTCTAAGCTAATGTAGAGCTAGTAAGGGGCATTGCGTACAAGATG